CTTTTTTTAATCCTGAGACTTACTTGCCTTTTCCCAACAGGTGAACGACTTCCTTAGCGGCCGGGCTCCGTTAATGCTGGCGATCCGCATGGGGGAACACATGGTCTTTGTGCAGCTACAGCTCTCTACCCTGCAGCATCAGCAGCAGCAGCAGCAACAGCAGAGCCAAGCGGGAGGAGGAGGAGGAGGGGGTGGAGGTCGTCAGCCGCAAGGTGAAGGTCAAGGAGGCGGCTCCTCCCACCAGGCACCACGCGCCGGAGTCACGGGGGTCACCGGGGTCGCGCCCACAGCGGCCACTGTGCTGTCCCAGACGGGCCTTTCTGCGTCCGCCATTGCCGAGGCTACCCGCTGTCTGAGCCAGAGGATGCAGCTACACAGGCTGCAGGGGATCAACAGGAGTAGCAACAGCAGCAGCAGCAGGAGTAGCAACAGCAGCAGCAGAAGCATCGGTGCTAGGACTAGCAGCAGCATGGTGAGGATACACTTTTTGTCTTATTTGCACAACAGCTTTTTTTTTTTAATAGAAAAAAATTTATCTGTCTGTCTGTCCGTCTGTCTGTCTTCCTGCTTATTTCTTCCTTTATTTCTTCTCTTGTTTGTGCAGTGCTGCAACCAATTGTCCTTTCACAAAATTCTGCTGGGTTGTTGGCGGGTGCTCTTGTGTGGTTTACTCCTTCTCTCCTATCAAACATCTATCGTCTTTATCTCCCATCCCTTTTTCTGTTTGTTACTCTCTTGTTACATCTCTAATCTTCAGCACTTATATAACCTTATTGTGTTGCAAGTGCTGTAAAACTCTTACTAATACTAAAATGTACTTATTTTGTCTGACAGGCCGGTCCAGCCCAACAGACACGATCAGCTGTTGCCTCCCACCCTCCTCCAAGAATGAGCACACAGCGATCTGCACACAGCTCCTCTCGGCGGTCGCTTCTGTCTACACCACTCTCACCGAGTAGCTCCGCCCACAGACGGTCCACCGCTCCATACCCAAGTGCTGCTCCTCCCCGATCCTCTTCCTCCTCCTCCTCCTCCTCCTCCTCCTCCTCCTCCTCCTCCTCCCACCCCATCCCTCCTAGCACGACACTCACATCAACTCCTGCTGCGTCTGGGGTTGGCCCAGCTCAGACTTTGCTTCAGCTTCCGACACGTTCCAACCTCCCCGCGGTTGCTGACAACGCGATGCCGTCCCCACCCCCTAGCCCAGGCGCGGTCATCGACAGTATGAAGCATGTGGGACGCGGTGTCTACACCGGGACGTTTTCTGGTGAGTGTTTGTGAGTGCGTCCGGAGGAAAGATGCGGGTTGTTGTTGGTTAACCCTGTTCGTACGCAATGGGGTCATTTTGTACCCCCGGGGTTTTATTCTTCACATTTTACAATACTTCTAGCGCGAAGATCTCTTTGAAACTTTCCGTATTTCTCAAAAAATCATTTTGACTGACTGCTGTGCAAAGCGCACGGAACGGATTAACGAGTAAATTTCCTCTTTGGAAGTGGTGGCACAGAGTACCCCATGTCGTATGAATACGATAGTAAAACACGATGTACAGATAGGGTTAAAAGGTTAAGAGCTCTAGTGTGATCAGCTGCTTCTATCTACTCTTTTTCAGTGTTTACTAAATTGTTGTTTTAATTTATTTCCTTTAAAATGTGGAAGTTGGAGTGCAGACTTTCCATGTATGGTGTGCTCTACTCCTATTACCCTTTTTCTGTGTTGATAAATTGTTGGTTGTTTTAATGTTTCCAATAAAATGTTAAAAATGCTGTTAGATTTTCCATAAATTGCACCTAAGTTAAATCTGAAGAAGATGGAATACTGTCGATTCTTCAATTCCTGAACATTTCTTGCAACAAAAAGTCTGTGCTTTCCCAACTAAAGATGACGTTTGCTCTCTTTGTTTAAAAATACAAAAGTTTCCTCACCACAAATAAACTGACCATTTGTCTTCCTCCCCCATCAGGTACGCTGGACCCATCTCTGCAGGACGGCAATGGTCAGCCCCGCCGCAGTGTCAACACGATCTTACACATTCTGAACGACCTGCTTGTGGCCGCGCCCCACAGCCCCCCAGCCACGCCGGTCAGGGCACAGGGAAGTTCGCCCGCACCGCAAGCTTTTCCCTTCAACCCACCCACCACCACCTCCCCAGCCAACTTGCCACCCACCACCACCTCCCCCGCCTACTTGCCACCCACCACCTCCCCCAACTTGCCACTCACCCCACCCGTCAGTCCAAAGAGCAAGACCGGTCCAGGTAAGGACAAAGTGATATTTGTACTTTTTTTTGGTGTGGTTTAGTAAGTTTTTTTTATGGCACTTGCAGCACAGTTAAGTGCTGAAGATTAGAGGTGTTACAAAAAGAGTAACAAATAAAAAAAAAGAAAGAGGACAGAGAAGGATGATAAATGTTGAATGGGAAAGAAGGTGCAAACCTTTTAGGAGTTTTAGTAAGATTTTTATGGCACTCACAACACGGTTAAGTGCTGAAGATTAGAGGTGTTACAAAACAGTAACAAACTCAAAAAGGAAGGAGGAGAGATAAGGATGATAGATGTTGGATAGAAAAGGAGCAAACCACACCAGAGCACCCACCAACCACCCTTGTCATTTGTACCTGTAGGGTCGAGGATTAATCTATTGTGTGTTGAAGAACCAGTAGTCGACTACCCTGAGATGAATCTATTGTATCTCATAAATGAAACTTTAATTGTGGCCCAAAAAGCAAGTTTATGAAAGATTTATGTAATGTACAAGGCTCGTTTTTGTCTAGAGTAAGTATGTGTCAAATATCATTCAAATGTGCTTTATTTAAACTCTTTATGCAGCATTCTCTATTATCTCTTTTCTAGGCTTGTCTTCATAAGTACAGGCTTAGCATTTTAAAAGTTGTCTTATGTGTCCTATTGACCCATGTCTGCCTGTTGAAATCTTTTCGAATTCAAGAGAAGATTGTGTGAATCACTCCCTTCAATCTTTCCCATCACGTTGAGTTGTTTATGCATGTACTCTATCTAGTACCTTATGCTGGATTTTGATTTAAACTGTTTTTACGTTTTCTGAATAATTATAAAATACTTTTCATTACTTCTCTTTGTTCAGGTGCTGTGTTTGCTCCTAGAGAGGACACTGACAATGACAAACTCCGAAGGAAAATGCAGCATATTCAAACTATGTTGGCTCAGCGAAAAGAGCAACGTCGTCAACGGAGAGAAATGAATGCTCCCTACACCACATCAAAGTCAGCGGCCGTGCAAGGGTTGGCCGATGTGTCCAGGTCTCTTCCAGCCTCGTCGTCTGCTCCAAGCACCGTTACAGTGGCTGCAACAGATCTTGTATCTCCGTCGATCTGCAGAACCTCGTCTTCAGTAACCTCCTCTTCCTCAACAGCCACTACCAGTTCGACTGTGAGTGGTCACGGGGAAGGGAATGCGAACGGAGGAGGGGACTCGTCGACCTACTGCAAGACCAGTATAGAGCAAGACTCTTTAGCCGTATGAAGAACCATGTGGTGACATTGCTTGCTCGGTGCTCTTAACTTTGTGTTCACCTTCACCCCAATGAAGGTTGGAATTTGTCGGCCAAAGCCTGCGACGCAGGTGGCAGAAGAAATGCTTTTTGCTGAAGTTTGATGGTTTCAGCTTCACGCAGCAGGTGAAGCTCATGCTGAATGTTCTGTAACATGGTCTTAGACACAATGCTACAATCTGACCAGTTATCAGACTGCAGTCTAGACCTGTTCCAATTTGTATAGATTCATAATGTTAGAAGCCACGCCCCGACTAGATCTCTGAAGAATGGTGTATCCCCACGTAGGGCTGTACTGATGCTGATACTCACATGCTGTATTGTATTTACACCAAGTCTGACAACTACTATAATCTGGAGACATTATCAGCTACAACTGCTTATGATTTTGTAGTTTTTAGATGATGACATTCAGTTTAGAAAATGTTTGTTTTCTTTAGATAGATCAAATTGGTCTCATTTTTGTTTGGTTTTGTTTACAGTAGTTAAATAATTTAGCTGCAGTTATTTAAGTTACACAGAATTTAAAACTTTTTTCTAACTTCTGTTTTTGCTTGTAGATGATTCTGATTTTTAAATTCCAGTTTAGTTTCATATGAATATGAAAATTGCTCCTAGATGGACTATGGAAGAACAAAAATTATAACTCAAATATATCTCCTATATTATTAATGATTAAAAAGATTTTGTGAAGGGCTCTTGATCTTTAAAGGCTCATGTGAAATACAATGAGTTTTTATTCCATGCTTTGTTCAGACACTGGTAGGTTTGCACCAATTATTATCTCAGTATATTGATTGAACTGACAGTCTGTGAGTTGCTTAAGTGTTAGATCTCGACGAGTCAACTTGGATGCTCCCGGAACTGACCGAAATGTTCCGGAAGCTGTATGATGAGGCTAGCTATGGGGCGTCGGTACTGACACTACTATTACTAACATATGTTACTTTATCAGCAATAATCCGGCATGAACATACAACATCTGTGTAATCAGTTCTCATCTTCATATCCTTTTCACTGTGTGCAAAGTTTTGGTCTTAGTGACTAAAAAAAATTTATTTCAAATGCAAGTTTTTTGGTGGAGAGGTATCATGACATGATCCACACAGTTTGGACAATATTCAACAAACCATATCCTAGCCCCCCCTACTCTTTATCCTCAGCCACACTCCCCCTTCCCACCCCATCCCCCCACCCCTTATCTCAACCCTTATCTATATCCTGGACTGCTTACACTATTCTTGCTGTGCCTCTCACCCGTTTTATGAACGTCACTTCTTGTTATAGCCCTACTCTATCTATGTCATTCTTTGTCTGCGTGAAACATATGGTCGCTTTTAAGGACAAGCGGGCTAACCGAGATTTCGGGGGTTTCCAGACCTATATCAAAAGTGGGCATTGCCCTTCCTGTAGGAGAAGTTTGGTTTCATTGGTGTGTATATTTGCTTGGTTATTGAGATGACTACCCTTTTCTTTTAAAGAAACTGAACAAGGGGCAAAAACTTTACCTTCGATTTTCTCAAAACACAATTTTTCGGGATAGCCCCCTTGTGCTTAAAAGCAACCATTTGGCTTTGAAGTAATTTTCTCTATGCTCTGTACATGTACATTATAATATTGTCAATGACTTTGAGTTATAATACTCGATATTTGGTGATTTATTCTTCCCAATCCCCCACCCCTTTTCAAGTATTGACAAAGGGAGCTTACCCGAGGCAGGTGATGGTGCAAAATAACCAAAGTTGTCGGTGTTATAATTCACTGTCTTTGACGCTTCCTCGGTGAGGCAAAGGTGATTTTTCTCAATTTCTTAATAAACTTGAGTCATCCCAGTCTCCGTGGGTTGGCTCCTGCAGTAAAGTCTTCTTCAGTGAAGTCACTTTCTCAATATGGGATGCAGATTTCACTTTCTATCTTGCTTGTTACTCTCTGCGATCACTTGGCCCAATAATGCGACGGTGAAAATTATCCGTTCCGGTCACCTGGCGCAGTTCTGCGACAGGCCTGAGAAGTCTGTTGCAGTCACTCTCCAGGCTGAGTGACCAGTTGGGATATTTTGTACTGCTGTCTGAGTGACTGCAAAGTGTTAGAAGTGATTTTAGAGAAATGTTGAATTCTGTCACACTTGTTAATAATGATTATTTTAATAAAGGATCAGATTCATAGAGTAATTCTTGGTTGAGAGAGCGTTGTGAAGGCTTTACTACAACAACAAAAATTACATGATATATATATATATACTGTTATTATTCATCAATGGGAAAATATAATGTTGTCTAGCATGCACATAGGGAAACACACACACAAACATAGTGAACAGATTTTCAGTTTCAGGTCTCGAAGTTTTCCTTATACATGTCTTCTCTTTGTATTTAGAACATTTATATATTATAGCAAAATTTGTACAGAAATTTGTACGTAATATAGAAAAGATTTCCGCGTCTTGCTGATTTCGCTTTGTGCGCTCTAAACTGTAATATGAAATATGAAATGGTTCTTGGCTCTGTTTAAAAAAGAAATGTTGAATGAAATAGTTGACACTCAAATAAGATTTTTTGTTATTATTATTATTATTATTATTCTATCTTTAAAAAAATCATTGTTCTTATTGTTGTTATTGTATTATTATTATTGTTGTTATTGTCATACTATTTTTACAATTATTATTATTACTTTTAATATTATTACTATTTGTATTATTATTATTATTGTTATTATTATTGTTACTGTCGTTATTATTATTATCATCATTATTATTATTTGAAAGAGTGATTATAAAGACCTAGGATGTCAGAAAACATGTTGCTGAGGATTCTGTCACTTTCCTCCAATACGCTATTCAAAGATGTACAAATGAAATTTATCATGTTTTGATGTCTTTTGTGTGTGGAATTTTTCCAGACAAAAATGCAAAGAAAGTTTTCCAATTTCAGGGTGGGGAGAGAGTTCTTAATTCATGCTAATGAAGAGATTGCAAATTATGAATGATTTACATTATGTACAAGGCTCATTTTTGTCCTGGAGTTGGTATGCATCAATTATAAATCAAATGTGCATATATGTATTCTCTTTCTGTATCACTTTTGCAATGGATACAACTCACAGTATTGTATATAGTATAAATATTACATGATTATACGTGTATCAATATTATGAAGACCCCTGATGAACTGCGTTAAGATATCTGCACCACTTCTGTCGATGTTATTGTTTTGTGTAGGTGTGTTTCTATTTATAGATAGCTTCACTTCAATCCAGTAGCATATATCTTCATGGTCAACCCCCCCCCAAAAAATGTTTCAACTTGAAGCAGCTTTTTGTGCTGCCACAATATGTGAGGCAGTGTTGTGGAATCAGGCACTCGTCAAAATAATGAAAATAAAGAAACTGGCACTTTTCCGCATGTTTGGTAATTTTTGTCGAAATTTTGTTTTTTTGGCTCAACACCTAAGTTCAATTAAGAACTCATTTTAGTGTGAATTATATTGAAAAACACTGATTGAAGGCACAAAATATGTAAATTGTCAGTTTCCACGGACTCTGAGGCTTTGTAAATAACCAAACTTTGGTGGCCATTTTCTCCCTAATTTTACGTCTGAAATCTGGTGACCCTCACCTCATTCAATGGCAAATATTTTGACGTATACTCAAGATAAATGGGTAAATTTTTTCTTTGAAAGCAAGGCAAATGAACAAGCTTTAATGCAATACCAATAACTCTACATGCGCCTGATTCTATAGTGTTGTGACGCATATGCTATACTCCTCTTAGATTTAATTGTTATATATTGAATATTACGTTCACTAAATTATAGATAAAACACAATGGACTATCGAAAAGCGACAATAGAAAACACAGTAGTGGCAGTTCTTGAAGTTCCCATGGAAAGGTAGGCTACTGGCTAGACAATCAGAGTATAAGAACGTATAGCTACTGGACAATGCATGATTATGTTCTCTCTATATTTTATTCATCCTGTCCACTATTGAAAATTTGTTAGATGGTTGGCTCAGTTTGATGAGGACTTCTTCAGTTTCATTTAGAATTGATTATACTTTGGATTTTGCTTGAAACGTATTCTGTATTCCCTACCATTATAGGAAAGAAGATCGGAAACTAATATGATGAGCAGAAAGGTTAAACAAATAATTTGCTGTTTGTATGTCTCCCTCCCCCGGACGTTATCTTATGCAGAGCCTGCGATATCTGTATTCATCAAGAAATCATGTACCGGTATAGAAAGTTGTGATCTTGTGGCCTGGCCACCATTAATATTATGCCAAATTGACTTCTACAATGTGAAATTTCTCACAAATCGCCTTTGAATAATTTCTTTTGTGTCATTATGTTAAAACAATTAAACATAAACCTTTATAATATTATGTTAGTTTCACTGTTACTTTTTTTTTTTTTTGGTAAAAGTTTTATGCCTGTATATTTTTGTTTAATTCAGCGATGGATTTGACATTGATAGTGCGCTCATGTGACGTTATGTAGTTGCGAGTGCCGTAAAACACTTACCAAAAAAAGGAGAAAAGAAAAAAAAAGGATATTGATAGGTTTGTTGCAGATTTTCCTGTATGTTCTGATTGGTATTCACCATAATACTGATTGTTTTAGTTAGTTTTGATATATTCTGATCCGGCACATGTACGTCACTTTCAACTTATGTGTGTCGTTTTGTATTTCTATAAATAGCTCAGCTTCTTCCGATGTTTTATTTCTTTTCCGTTCGTTCAGACTGTAAGAGTTGATGGAAAAGCAAATAAAGTCTGTCATCCAAAGAACTGGTTTGTTTCCATGTTGCTTCATTTTGGTTGTATCTTTATATTCGTTTGTTGTTTCATTTATAATAATAATAATAAATAATGATAATAAAAAATAAATTGCATTTATATTACGCCTTTCCACAAAGAAGTGCTCAATGCGCTGTATAATAATACAGAGAACATATGAAGCACACAGCTCCTATAGTAATCTTCTTTCTCTCTCTCTCTCTCTCTCTCTCTCTCTCTCTCTCTCTCTCTCTCTCTCTCTCTCTCTCTCTCTCACTAGTCTCACTCTCTCTCTCTCCTCTCTCTCTCTCTCTCTCCCTCTCCCTCTCCCTCTCTCTCTCTCTCTCTCTCTCTCTCTCTCTCTCTCTCTCTCTCTCTCCAGTACATCCTTGAGGTTTCCTTTTTCATTTTGGTTCTAGCTTTATGTTGTTGTTTTTTTTCTCTGGGGTATAGAAGAGAAGCTCATTATAAAGGGCTCGGGAGTGATTGAAGGGCGCCGCTGGTAGGTCCTACTTCTTTACTTTTACTGTTGTTTCTGTCTGTCTGTCTGTCTTACTTTTGAGGGTGGTTGGCGGGTGCTCTGGTGTGGTTTGCTTCTTATTTCCTATCAAACATCTATCGTCTTTATATCTCTCCTCCTTCTTTTCGTTCGTTGCTCTCTTGTAACACCTCTAATCTGCGACACTTACATGACCCTATTGTGTTGCAAGTGCCGTAAAACACTAAAACTAAAGTAAAAAAAACCAAAACCATGAAACAGGACCCGTTGGCGAGGGAGCGGACCAGGTAATCATTCTACGACGACCGCATGACGAGCACGACAAATCAACTTTACTTTTTTTCCTTTTATTTTTTCCTTCCTCTGGTATCCTTAGGATGTCGAGGGGAGGTGCAGGTTTCGGTCCTGTGCTAGGTGTGTAGCGTCTGTGATAGATCTAGATATGTTGTTCCAGGACCTTTTAAACCCCATCCAACCAGGTCTCTTTTTTGGTTTTCCTCTTGATTTGAAACCTGACAGAGACTGAACATTTTATTCCCAAAAATGTTCTCCTTTCATCCTTTTCCCTGCTCTCTAGCCATGTTCTGTCTGTCGTCTGCTTTCGTCTCTACTTTCTCCCCACCCCACCTCCCCTTTGCCCCCTCTTCTGGGCTCCTGATTCTTCCTGCAGCCTTTCTACGGTTCTCCTTGGCTCCTTCTTACTGCAAAGACCTAGCCACGTGTTTACTTACATTGCTAAGTCTCTGATCTAACCCTTTTCGGGTAAAAACGAAATTCAACATTCCTACCAAACTGAAAATGTTTAATGTGTTCCGGATGCTCATGTGATCTTAACTGTCCCCACGTTTTTATGCAAACAAAATTCTGAAATAATTATGCAAACTGAGCCCCCCAAAAATGTGAAATTATGTGATTTTGTTAATTTTAACAAAGAATTATAAAGGAAAACAATAAAAAAATAATGCAATTTGAATGATCAAATTTTGCTAAATTATGCGGGGTGCATAAAACCCCGGGGACAGTCTTATGCAATTGTGAGGGTCGTAAACCAGTTACCAAAACCAAAACGAAAAGAAGAGAAAAACCGGCAATAAAGAAAGAAAAAAATAATGGACTACCGATACTGAAACCGGATGTACAAGCTGCGTGCAAGTAAATGAAACCAGGAAAAACCACAGGGCCAGACTGATGAGATGATATCCCAGCGGATTTGATCTCTATTATGGCCAGTGATTGCAACCCTCTTTGTCAGTACACTTGAGCCTTCTGTTTTGTATGCGGTTATGGCTCTACTTGACTCAAATAGACAATTTCGAAGACAGAGTACTTATTATATCAGTCTACAATAATGTAAAAACAAAAATAAATGAAAAAGACTCTCTCCCACCCACTCCCTAAAAAGCAAAATAAAACAAAACAAAAACCTAGAGAAACAACTCTCCTCCCCACCCAAAAAACAACAACAGAGAAACAAAAACGTATCAAACTGAAAACTACCAACAAAACAAAACAACAAACAATCGGAAGCCTCACTTGTTTACAATGTCGTCTAAGAAGACGGACTTTTACAAAGATTAGATCTAAACGAAACTAATGAAAAACTGAAAATTAAACTACAGTGACTTTAGACTCCCCTGTAAAACTATACACCCTTTAAATGATTATGAATCAACGCTAATTTTTTTCAAATTCGAAAGTTAAGTGGTTCCGAAGTTTTAGGCTGCGAAAGTGACTTTCACAAGTATAATATATGTAGATTATTTATAGTAAATATGCCAGTAAAAAAACCCAAACAACCAAAGACAACCCCCCCCCCCCCAAAAAAAAAAACACAAACAAACTACAACATCAACAAAACTAAAATCTCTGTCACAGCAGCAGCAAACTAACCTTTCACACCTCTTTGTCTTTTTGTCAATGAGACGTGAGCGAGCATTTCTGTCCTGGTGCATCAGAAAGCAGTTTTATTACTGGCATTGAAAACCTGCAGACTGGTATAATACTCTGAAGACAAAGCGGAGAAAGCAAAAGATGGAAAATTATGACCGACGAACTTCCAACCCCCAAATGGAATTTTCCATCAGATGGACGGACTCGTAAGGCAATGAAATTAACATGAGGGAAAACCCTGGGAAGGAGCGAACGACATAATTATGAAGTCTGTTCATTATCTATTGCGAAACTCTTCGGGAAACCCAATTAATCATTAGGAAAACGCAGAAAAACACAATCTAAGGGAAGCGACCGAAAAATCTAGTTCATATTTAGTACAAAAGAGTTTTTGCCCTTAGCGTTGAAACCTCGTGAAAGTAGGTCACAGCAGGTAACTCCGTCCTGTGTGTCACGCAGGTAAACAAATCGATAATTGCACAGCGCGCGACAGCGTTGTGTGGCTGTGCGTCTGTGTGCTCTCTCGTAGCTTCTGATAATGAAACCTCAAACAAGATGGCGGCGCCCTCGGATTCTGAGCTTGACAATGCGGAAATTGACTCAGAAAAGGAGGAAATTGTTGACTTAAATGAATTTCTGGAGAATAATTCGCTGCCGGAGTGTATTTGCGTGACCCAAGGAACTTATTTAAGCAAATCAGTGCAGATTTCTGATGGGGATGTGCTACTTTTGAAGTCGATCGAGTGTGACTCAGTCACCATTTCATATAAAGAGGAAAACGATCGTTCTTGGACTGATATCAAAGTATCTTTGGACTCGAGCCAACGTTTCAAGGTGCTACCGCCGAAAGATGCACTCATCTCTTCAGAGTCGAGAGAAAGAGCAGCTTCGATGGTGTTCTATCCAGCAATTTCAGATTTACTTCTGGACTGCCCGACGTACTTCGAAGCGACGGCCTCTTACGAAGATCCTTATCTCCCTGGTATGTCCATTAGCGCGGGGGATAAGTTTCGATTTGAAAAGATTGTCTCGGATACGAGAGACGGACAGCAGAGGTTGAGAGTCCGTGATGTTCTAGACAACGCTGTTCAGCTGTCCCTGGATTGTAAAGGAAACTTCTGTCCTCTAGAAGACGACCAAACGTACACGCTGAAAGAGCTGGTGGATTCTGCTTGTGTGCCTCGGAGACTAAAGCTAGTGCCAACGAACCAAACTTCGGAGGATGGAGGATCTTCCACACTTGCTTCGTCGTCTGCTCCTAGTCTAACAATCGACGCTTCTGCTTTGACCAAACCGAAACCCCGGCTCCCCAGGAGTACCGCCTCTTCCACATCGTCTTCCTTCTCCTCATGTAGCGGTGCGAGTAAGGTTGTCTCCGACATTCTCAGCGTCCTGCCTGCGTCTTTCTCCGGGGCGATTCACATGCTCAAACCGGAGAAGGAAGTCCTGGTTTCCCCTTTCAACGACCCAGACACAGTGTGGAGTCTCCCTGTCAGTGCTAGCCTCAAAGTCCGGCTGTACGGACAAAACGACTATGAGGTACCCGCGAGACGACCTTCGACTCCTCCGTTTGCCCCACCCCCTGTGCCCCTTCCCCTGTCTCCAACAGACGGAGTCCCCAAATACAAAGCCCCCACTATCCCGGCAATGCAGCAGCCAGTGATTCCTGTGAACATCACCAGCTTCGCTGACCTGTATTCCGGGTCCTTCCCCGTAACGGCCAAACTTTGTGACGTATCTGAGTGCAATACATTTCTCCGGGACATTCTGGAAGACGTGAAAGAAGTTATAGTGTACAGACGTGACGAAAGTCGACGATTGTTTGCCAAAAATACCAAAAATGATGACGTTTTCAGTTTATCCAAAGACTTACAAGTCGGTTTTATAGAGTATCCGGAAAAATTTCAAAGTGTTTTCCAACTTTTGCATTTACCGTTAGGCACAGAGGTCACTGTGTTAGAAGACATAGCCGCTGACTTTCCTAAACCGTTCTTTTTACGGTTTGGGGATATCATTCGAATCACGTCCAACACGGCCTACTCTGTCAAATTGAAACACTCGAGCCAAGACTGTGAAGTTCTCAAGTGTGAAAAGTGTTCCCCGGAGGGAGGTGACTCCGTCAAACTGAGGATTCCTCTCGATTTCGAACTAAGCATGGTCATAGCCTCAGACGCCGCAAACAAAAAGGTACTGAGAGTCCCTGACCTTCTTTCTGGTCGGACGCTGATTCCGAGACAACCCGTCGCGTCTCTGCCGCCAGACCAGGAAAAAGAACTTCTGGAGGAGCTCCCTGTAGATTTACAATTACTCAGCGTCATCAAAGAGCCCTGTCTAGTCGTTTCCCCTACCATGCCTTTCACACTCCCCGCATCGTTCACATCCATGTTCACCTCAGCACCACAAGTCCCCTCATCGTCAGTATCTTCACAAGACAGCTGTTCTTCTGCTGCTGCCTGCTCGTCATCAGAACCGAGACAGGTGCCCCAAAACATCGGACTACCGCTAAACAGCAATATCGTGCTGGCGTTGACTGAACGCATCAGTTTGGAAGATGTCGACCTTCTGGCATCAGAGGCAGATTTTGTGAGGACACCGATGGAAAAATTGAGTCGGACGAAATTCGAGGAGTTAGAAAAGTGTAGTAAGTTGACGATGACCGATCTGAGTAACGTAGCCGCTCCGGGTTCCAACAACTCTTTGGATCTGTGCGGGGCAGGGAATGGAGTGATGCTCAGGACGGGGTCCACAGGGTATGTGTGTTGTGCTGGATTTGTCTCTGTATGCTTTGTCTTCTCTTGATTTGTCTTCTAGATATGACACAAACACAGACGCACAAGCACACACACACATTTACACGCACACACACACATACATACACACACACACACACACACACACACACACACACACACACACTTACACACACAACCGTACAA